TTAAACAATAATGAGCAAATAAATGATTTATTAAATGAATGAGAAGAACAAAAAAAGATAGTCAACGATAGAAAAAACATTTGCTTCATCCTAGAAGATACCCAAGACAGTTTTAAATTTTGTTATCAACCTCCCAAAGGTAATTTCCCAGCCTTAACTGATTTTTTATGATACCGAAATAATATCTGATATGAAACGACTAACTGACAAAGAATAAACCATGAAAATGCTATCATCACGGCTAAAAGAAGTCATTTCATTCATAACTATCCTCGGTTTTTCAGTAAAGGGGCTAACGGAATATTACACCACTCCCCTAAATTTGGTTTAAAGGATGAAATCTGTCAATGTCCCTCTTTTTTAGAAAGCACGGAGTATGCTGAATTTACGGCTGATTGACAACCTGAATACCAATTATTTAAATTAGATAATTTCCAAGGTCTAGCCAAGGGAACTTTACGAAATGCCAAAGGAGAATATCCCGTTTTCCATACTTTACAGTTAACCCCCGTGAATTTAGATGATTGAGTAAGTAAAGATGTTCATCCAACTTCTTTTTTCTTATTACCCTCTTTTTATAATCGGGGTATTTATAACATGAAAGAATTTAAGACTAATTTTGTCAGCAGTAAAAATAAAACTCCCTTATTAGAATGAATAAAAACAGCTAAAATGGAACGAGAAGGAGGCTACGAACATTTATTAAAACATGTCAATGTCAATTATTTTTGAGGCAGTAAAAAAATCCACGAAAGTAATTTAGATGAAATGGATGAAGTAAGGGGTTTTAAAGTTATTGTTCGGGCTAATCCAGCTGGGATTATGTATAAGTTTGAAAGTAAGAAAGTTTTATTTAGATATAGTGAAGATTTAAATTTTACTTTGGATGCTGACCAGTTAGAAAAAGCTAGTCGGAATTTTTTAGTGAAAGCAGGAGCAGGAGTAATAAAGTTTTTTACAGCTGGATTAGTAGATGGAGAAGAAGCCTTAAAACAAGAAGCAGGCTTAGGAGATGCCACCAAGAATTATTTACACGGCTCAGATGACGATGATAAAAGCAAAGATGAACGACAGAGTGAAAGAAAAAAGACTTTGGCTTCGGCTGGGAGTTCAGCCATGTCGGCTGTGATTGGTTCTATCCCCTCTCTTTTAGATGCCTCCCATACTCACGGGAATTATTCCTTAGCTGAATTAGCCTTACGATTTGAAAGTATCCAATTTTGAATTAGATTAGAGTTAAATAAAAATCTTTGTGAACGATATCAAAGGATGGTCGG